TAAAGCAAATCGTTGATCATCACTATCAACCTATATGCAATGACCTGCTTTGACACGCTCCCGGGTGGCCGGCTAATACCCTTCACTCGGGTGTGTGTGGGGGGGGGGGTCAATTTGACCCCTCTGGGATCTCATGAAACTAAGAAGGCTAGAGACACTAAGTCTACAGTGTGTTGAACTGCACGTGAACTTACTTAGGTCAAAGTTTCAGGTTCCTAGGGTATGACCTTCGGGTCAGGAAAGGTCAAACAAGGTCAAGTTCCAGGTTGGTCTCCAAAGTGTCCCCAGAACCTAGATAACCGCTTCTAAGCAAAAGGTCACATTCTCATTCAAGGTCGGTGACCTTGTTTGACCTTTTGAAAGCCAAGATGACCAAAATCATACAAGATGCTTTGAGTTTGCATTTGACTAAGCGACAAAGATTACGCTAGGCAGTAAGTTCCTAAAACAAAATGTTGACCTGGGTTATATTAGGTCAATAACCTATTCTGACCTCTAAGAAGTCCATTGAAGATGTATAATGCAGTTCCTGCTCTCAATGAACTCGAAATGAGCACCAGAAACTATCCTACGCAGCAAATCCTAGAGTAAAAAATCAGACTGGTTTTGACCTTGGTGTGACGTTCATACTTGCCCGTAGGTCAATGTAATTTGCTGATTCAACTGCTGTGTCGCCTAAGAAAGCCTCTTAGATATATATATTGCTTCGTCTAACACTCAGCTGTTGGATCAGATTAAAGGATTCCCTAGAAATTGCCTTCGCTGAAACCATGACCTGACTTTGACCTGCCATAGCTCAGCGACCTTACAAGGTACATATAAATTTTCAAGCCAAACGATCCGCTATTCTTGTCTACAGTTACGCAAAATTTGGCGCGGCTACGCCGCGCCGTTCGGAAACCATTCTGAAAAAACTTTCGAGGGGGGTCAGTTTGACTCCCTCCACCTGAGCGCGTGTTAAGAAGAGCTACTAGCTCGGATGTGTAGACCGATGCGTGACAAAGCAAAAGACCGTGCGGCAGGACCCTGCACCAATTCACATCCAACACCGGCATTTGCTTTCGATCTGTCCGTGTAGATCTTCTTGTGATCCGAGTATGACTGGATCAATTCCAATAACCGCGGCCAGAACTCGTCCGGGGCACCTGCTTCTTCACGAGCTGTGAAAATGATGCATCTCCTGCTGGTGGGTAGAGCTTCCAAGGACGAGTCGCAGGAATTTCCCAACGAATCACGTCCCGTGTGCCAATGCTACATCCCTGCAAAAGTACGAACATCCTCACAGAGGAAGGCGCAATCCGATCAGCTCCCCCCAGTCAGAAATATGCGAATCAGCACTGCGCGAAAAGATATGCTTATATGTTGCGTGATCGGGGAATTGTGTCAACTTATAGGTGCATCCCATGTCCAGTAACTTTCCCCTAGCGTGCAAAGGAGGCTCGTGGGCCTCAACAAGGAGGCTCGCTGTGGATGAGGTCCTGAATGCGCCTGTCGTGATACGTAGGGCAGCATTTTTTTTTGTGTTCGAGGAGCGTTTTACTTACATACAAGCCCCGTCATAAATAAAAGAAGCTAATCGAGCTTGGAGCTGATATGGAAATCACAGAAGAGCAAAAGCGTTCTCCTGTCCGCACCATATGACGTGCGTACAATGCATTTCAGGACGCTCAGGGTTTAAAACACTTAGCATGCATAACCCTCATATGGTCTTTGTAGGTCAAGCGACGACCAAATTGCACGCCCATGAAAGTATCGCGGGCTCAAATGGGATCGCTTTGCCTTACAGTCGAACAGCTACATACTGGCACATCACATCGCTACATCCTGATCACGTCGGCGACAAAAAGGCATAGCTACTTTTTTAACGTGGAGAATAAAAAACATTGAGCAAGCAAGTCCACCTCTCCAAAAGTAGGTCCCCGCATGTTGCTGTCACAACCCCAAAAGGTATAATGTGCGTTAACTCTCCTAAGATACTCCAACTCGGAGGGAGCTCCGCCTCCAAATGACGGAGCTCTACCAATGAAAAACTGAAACCCGGCGGTAGATACACTGAACACAAGGCTACTAGATAATGGCAAAAATGCACACATGCAGAACAGCCTGGAGCGAGGTTTGTAGCACCAGGTGCTGGGCAGATACACTGCACAGATCTACCTTTGATGGTCCCCCGTACCCCTGGATATCCAGGCCAAAGTGTTTTGTTGGGTAGCACCGCGACTGACACGCACGACGCGCTGCTCAGCGACCAGGATCCGATCAACCCGTGACGTGGGCGAATGCGTGCGAGTACATACGGTACGAACGCGGAGCTTTCATTGTGTGAGAAGCTCAGCCAGCTGCGCTACGCTGAACATGACGTCGCATTTTCCTCTTTCTTTGTTCCTTCTACCCGTAAAACAATGAAAAGAAAACTTCTCTAAAATTTAGATAAGTTTAATCTCCCGCTTTAAACGCCAGCGTGTACCTTGCTTCCACATATTTGGGGCGGGGGCAAACCTTCGGTTGGGGGGAGTAGACGGACATGGGGGGGGGGGAGGGGCAGTGGGCCACCCAGAAGATTAGAGATCGACAGACGTGGCCTGTTGAATCGACGCCTCATTCTACCCAAAAGGTAAATTGTAGATACAACTTGCGGCCGCTACATAATATGGGGGTACAGCTTACCGAACACAACTACCCGCATGCTGGTGTTTTCTCGACGCCAGGGAGAAGAGCTAGGCGAATCCTACGATACCCAAACTGGTGCTCAAGAAGGGGGGGGGGGAGCGGGCTGAATCGCTGATTTTGGAAGTCAAACATTTTATACAACAGGCCGATAGCTGACGCTTTTCGAGTATCGCAAGGCTCCCGGGAAGGGAAACTGAGCCCCACCCACCTCCCTCTTCAACGGCGCCCCCCCCCCCCCCCCCGGCACGTTCCGTGACCTAGACCCACGCTTTGTAGGCATCGGTGGTTCAGTGGTAGAATGCTCGCCTGCCACGCGGGCGGCCCGGGTTCGATTCCCGGCCGATGCATCTTCAGCTAAGTTTGACTCTGTTGTTAATCCTGCAGCAGTATTATCAACACAAGCGGAAACGCACGTGTTCTGCCCCACAACGCCAGTGTTGCGTGTCCGTTACAGCCGCAGCAGCTGCTGCAGAACACACAACACTGGCGGCGTTGCGGTAAGTTATGCTCTTCCCGCCACGTCTTTGCGCAGCGATATATCATGGGATAGATCATGATCTGTCGGATAGGTCATGATATTAAGAGGCCTTAACGGAAACATGTGACACTTGAAATATTGAAGCAAGCATCAGATATGACGAGACCAGCTCACTTATATAACTATTGCACACTTTTGGAGTGGGAAAGAAAGTCCCAGGCAGCGCAAGTCTCCTCTTAGTAGATACGCTCCTCAATGAGTCATAAATTGATTACGTCATCGTACGATGCACAACGTTGATTGAGAGCCAATTCCCGGCCGTTATAGCTGAAAATCGCGCTGATAAACGCCAGACATGAACACCCAACATTATTTTCCTTAATCGCCGCATGGCTTACCATATGGCAGGATTTCATTGACGCTGTTATGACGTCATGGAGGCCAAGGTGACTTTGAAACGCACTCACCATTTTCTCGGGCGTTTAGCTCAGAAAACAGTGGGGTTTAGGTTTTTAGAGGGGCAAAGTTGTCAACATCACCGAAAGGCCTTCAAAATGTTCATTGCAGTCCAAAACCCCATGCAGATGTGCAACACACCTTTTAATCCATTGCCATTGCCTGCCTGTGCAGGCCTTGTATCCAACAGAGGGAAACAGTGCGTGACATGTCTTCACACAAAATACAATGTAGGGGGAGGGGGGCGGGGACGGAACGACACCGCGCCCTAAAACGGTTGCCTTTATTGCCTGGGAGGACCGGACTACATCCGCAATTAATTCAATTCAGACCACTTCATCATATGCGCGTACAGATAACAGAGCACAACAGGCCACACGCAGGTGTCGTCTGAGACCACACAACATTCTTTTTGCAGGAGATACGAACTCACGCTTAACGTTTTTCAATGTACTTTTTATGCACCCAAACAGGCGCGTATCTCGCACCACCAGAGTGGATGCCCCCACCCTGTGAAAGTAGAATTGCATTGCCGATGAGGTGGCGATGTAGGGCAGAAATTGTGGGCTGGATCAAGAGCAAGCTTTTAAAGGGGGTGGGGGGGGGGGGGGAAGAGGTGGTAGGTGGGCTTGTTAGAAAGGTGCGAGGTAAATTGCATTTACAAGTGCCAAAGATCACAAACCTAAAATGCACAATGGTTGGCGGGTAAAACCCGCACCCAGCGTTAGGTGTTACGATAGGCCAGACAATGATGCATGGATCAGCATAAATGATAAATCAAGTAAAACATGCTACTAATGGGTCCGTACGATATTGTCCAAAGATAGAGAGTGTCAGAATGGTACAAGGTACAGAATGAATACTGATATGCTATGTTCAGTTAAGTGTAGCTGCCTCCGGTAGTTACTCTTTTATAGCTCCGCTCCTGGTCTCGACCCCAGCTGGCGGCCGCTCCTGGCTGGCAAGTACCCGCTCCAGCATGGGGGCGAGCCGCTCCTTCCATTGCGCCGCTTGCTCAGACTGCTGCATCATCAGTGCCTCCGAGCGTCCGAGCTGCTCGCCGTCACTCCTCCCTGACGCGAGTGGTCCAGCACGGCTGCACGTAGGTCACTACGTCTTAAACACGGTGTCACGCACACAACTCATTATGCAACCAGACCGCACCGTGCTCTATTCCCACGGGCTGGACCTCGGCTCAGCTAGTCTATTTCATCATGACGGCGATCCACACGCGTGAGTGTCTAGATGAGTGGTTCCCGCCTCGCGGGCTGGGGCATGAATCAGCTGATAACCCGCTAGCTGACCTGGCTGCTCATATGAGCCAGTGCCGGAAGGTCTTTATGATAACACCAGCGGCTTGGCCGCTGGAGCCGCCCGAGCCGCCGGACGTCCCCAGGCCGCTGGAGCCCCCAGAGCCCCCAGAGCCGCTCAGGCCGCTGGAGGCATCGTGGCGCCCGGTGCCCCCGGGATAGCCCAGGCAGCCCAGGCCGCAGCCCAGCCCAGGCCACCCAGAGCCGCCAGAGCCGCCCAAGCCGCTGGACCGCCCAAAGCTGCCGGGGAAGCGGGTGCTCCCGGAGCTGCCCGAGCGGCCGGAGCGACCCCGGCCGCTGGAGCTGCTGGAGCCGCTGGAGTCGCCCCAGCCACGAGAGCTCCCGAAGCCGCCGGTGCCGCCAGAGCTGCCCAGGCGGATGGAGCCGCCCCAGCCACGAGAGCTCCCGGAGCCGCCGGGCCCGCCCCATCTAGGGGCCACGATACCCCCAACCCCCGCTGGGGGCCACGATGGCCTGTGGAACCAGCCCAGGCCGGGAAGTTTTAGCGAAATTATCTGTCGTAGAGAACTTATAATTTATTTGTTAAAACCGCGTTGTACAAAATCGTGTTATATTGGCTTCCAATGACGCGCATGAACCATTTGTTTCCATAAACTTCAAATGTTGGAAATGATTCTTATCCATCCAAAAAAGTAAGGTTCGTCTGAACACGAACCACTTTCTAATGGATAACACTAGCCCAAAGCAATTTCACTTGTAAACCGCTGACTCAAGTTTTGACATAACAAATCAACGGGGGTGCATAAAAGCAGCGAGTGTTTTTTTTTTTTAGAAACTTGATCCGAACTTTAATGGATGGATTTCTGGGATCAGTGCTCACGCTAAGCAGTGCTTGTTGTGTGAGCCCTGACCCCTACAATCCGATCGCGCAATTCCAGGCAACGGCAGAATTTAGTGGCGAAAGCTTAACGTGCCGCAATGCTCGGCACGGTCCGTCCTGCCCTCTGACGTCAACTGACCTTTAGCGCGACCGCTGCCACCGGCCGCAGGCCATACCTGCCAAGGACAAACAGCGAGCGCCTAAAGCGACTCGAGCCCACCCCGCCACGGGTGGGTGAATCGGGAGACAGGCGCTCTGACCAACTGAGCCACCGGGACGGGACGGACTGGTTACTGACAAAAATAAAACTGTTTGTGTGTAATGTATTGTCGGAGGCGTGTTTGCAGCGCTGGGATACTGACGGCCTCATCTGCACGTAAATAATAGCGAATGCTTATCGTGATGAATCGCACACAACTGGTGATCATGTGAAATTCTGTAGTTGTTTCATTTCAACGCAGCAAGTGAATAATTTAAAACATGCTAGGCTATGAATGCTGATGTGTTGCTCCCTTACCCCGTAGGAATGTCAGACATGCCTGCAGTCTGCAACAGTCAGGTCCGCCGGGGCGCGGTTCTGCCATGCCTCCATACCGACGGCTGCGTGCGGTGCCTGTGAACGATCCAGGCGCGGCCGGCCGGGAAGCAGGCCAGGTACCTATTCTGCCGAGGACGCTTCTGGAAGCATCCCGGAACATTTTTTTTTGTAAATGCGGATAGATGTGTTGTTACGGCATACCAACGTTTTTAAAAAAAATATATATCTGGAAAACGTGCATGACTATGCACACCCGTTGCTACATAGGGGGGGGGGGGGGGGGGCGGAGGTGTAAGAAAGCTGGAAGATACTGGGAGAATGCCGTCACTTAGCGAGGCGCAATGCAATGGAAGAAAAAACGTAAGCAAGTCACCGTTGTTTCTGAGCATAACACCACTGGAGAAGAGATGATATGCACAAAATGTAATGACAAGTACACAATCATTAATCGAGGGGTGATCGCAGCTTGTCATTGACACGAGCGACACAACCACGCATGGTCAGCCATACAGCTGCTGCTCAAATCCGGTGCTGGACACGTGTTGGTGCGGAGATCACACCTGCATTGTTAACAACCTAGGACAACTTAACAATTTAACCTAAGCTCGTTTTTTGACCACGATGGGATGAACCGATTGCTTTCGTGTAGTTGTTGTAAAAAATACCCATCGATGCTTACAACTGCATCACAATTGAAATATATCTGGCATTTTCCCAGCAATGTGGTTGCGAAATTCCTATTGACTTATCCTATTGAAGTTGCTTTGATTCTTTTTACACCTTGGACACCATCAAAGTACACTTTGAAAATTGTGTACTTGGGACATTGCGTACCTTGGACATTGTGTGCTTTCGACGTTCCGTACTTTGGACACTGTCTCATTTGGACGTTTTTTACTTTGGACATTATGAACCTCGGACATTTCGTACATTGGGGATTGTGTACTCTGTACATTGTGTACTTTGGAGATTGCGTACATTGGACATGATAAACACCTCCACGCTGGGCCATTTTGGAAGTTAGGTCTAATTTTGGACACACTTGGACATAATATAAAACAGCAGAATTTTCCCGTAAATCCGGCCGATTTTTCGCACGTTTTGTAATTTCTGCTAGTCAGAGAGTCGAGGCCCATATTTCAGCTCCGAAATAGTCTGATAGTGATATCTTCGGGCGATGGGGAATTATCACCTCCGCGTTCTCATTCTGCTATAAACACCGTCAATATCTGGCTTTGAACATTTGCTCAATTTCACTTCTTCATAGTTTTATTCTTTATTATACCGTTTTTGCGCCGACCACTCGCCTTCCATGGAGGATCCGAGCAAGCCTTCCTGCGAAGGCTGGTTAGGATACTTCATTGACTCAGAACTAAACGTTTCATATGTCCCACCAACACGCTGATACATCGAAAGTGAAAGTGACAATGCCACAAGAAAAGCGGTAGGAATTTTGCAAGAATCAGTGACTCGGGCGAACACGGCTGTCCTTCTTCACGATGGTGGGCGAAGCGGATGCTTTGAGCGCGCTCCGCCCAGAAGGGCCTCAGCACGCTGCCGGTGATTACGCTGGTTTCCATCTGGACGTGGCACGTGCCTCGTTCACCGCCCACGGGACAAGGTGCCACATTCTTCTGCAGTGTCGCCGGGGATGGCAGTGATAATGACGCTGGCACTGGGGCTGGCGCTAGACCTACAATAGCCTGGGGCTCTACAGCTGGCTGTGGCAGGGTTGGTGGTGTCCTGGCTTCGATCTCTGAGGTTTCTCCACGTTCTGGTAGTGGCGCCTCAAGGGGCAGTACCTGCGGCTCGACGCCTGTTCTTTGGGCGGTGCCCTTAGACGGCAGAGCGTCTAGAGCGTGCACCACGTGGTGGTCGTTAGTGTCCTCTTCGCTGCTGCTGCTACTCTCAAAGCCGAAGTAGCCGTTCGCCGACCTCACGACAGAAGCCTGGACGGCGTGGTCCGGGACGTCATAGTACCGCACCGCTGTCGCGTAGTTGTGACGGCAGTACCGGGCTGCTTCAAGAGATGTGGTGTCCTTCAGGGCGCCCTGGGCCTCGGCGGTGTGGGTGAGGAGCACATGATGGCGCCGCCCTCGGTAAACCCCAACCACGTGGGCATAGTTAACGTGGGCGATGGTAGGGATATCAAACTGCAGCTGCGGTCGCCGGTAAATATTAACCATTGGAAGGAGGCGGTCGTTGTCCAACTCACCCTTACTCCACAGGTGCTTGCGCAGGTATTTCAGAAAAGGCAGATTTTTTTCCAGCTTGGCCGAGATGATGACACCGGTTCGTGAGTTTTATTTCTCATCTTTTTGTCTTTCCACCCGCGTGGCTGATGATGAGTCGTTGCACGTCCGCTGCGCCCGACAGAATTCCTGCGGGATAATCTGACGGAAGAATCCTGCCCGTATTCCTGAGATGATTTCTGCTGCGAGGTAAACCATCTGTCGCATGTATACAAGGATGTGCTGTGCGCTGGCGTTTGTCGACAGCCTGTCTTTTCCGCCCTGGGTGACGCTGTTGAACTTTTTTTCTTCTTTCAATTGCTCTGCTCATCAGAATTGGGGTCGGGTGGTCCATAGTGACCTCTCCCATATGTTTTACTACACGGTCCGATTGCTTCTGGGCGAAAAGCTTCTCGTTGGCTTTAAGCACCGATCAAAGCAACGGCATCTTGAGCTGACTCTTCCACGCCACGCCGTTGGTAATCTCACCAAGCCTCTGGTGTGCGCGGATGGCACATGTCATGTCCATGCCGACATCGGGCGACTATTTCCAGGCCTCGTTCAGTGTCGTTCGGATTCTGCTGCGCTGTGTCTCTGTTTCAACTCACTCAGTTCACGACGGAGGTTCAGCGATATAGTGCTCGTCTGCCGTGCGGGCGGCCAGGGTTCCATTCCCGGCCGATGCACTTTTAATTCTAAAATACTGCCGCTCACACCCGCAGTGGAATTGTCAACACGAGGGGAAGGGATATGTCACACCTCACCTTGCAAGTCGTGATCTTGCAAGGTGTCTGTTTTGCATGAGAACACACTCAGCACGCTTCGCAATTCGACAGCCTTCTTGGTTTCCGCCACCTGCCTGCGCAGCTCAGTGCGTCGGCCCCAAACGTGTTACAGCTAGTGTCAACTGACGCTCCACCGCTGAGGTTAGAGAAGAGCTGCACCACATTGCAAGATTGTGGACGAACAGCGAGCTACCAGTGGACTGACGCAATACATCTACGACGTCATGGATCATTAGCGCAAGAACTGCAACACTTACAACGCCACCCACACCGCTCCGTTGCAAGAATCTGTGAGAAAACTGATGACCAACGCGGATGCCAAAAAAACGTTCTGCTAAAAAGTACTGTAAATGCGATGCTTGTTTCCACGAATGCCGTGCTTCAGGACCTTCTCGAAAGTCCCGTGTCGCCAGGTGATATGGTATGCGGCCTCCATGTACTTTAAGAAAGCTCCCACACAGCGATGTTCTTTAAAAGCAGCAGGAAGAACAGTATCCAAGGTAAAAAGATGTCCAACATTCTACGGTGTTTCCAAAAGCCTCACTGAGATAAGGTCAAAATGCCTTGTTTCTCTAAAAACACGAATGATTACCATTGGTAAGACTCAGATTACACGGTGCTCGTGTGAAATAGATGTGTATGTTATGAAGTCGTAAGCAAGCTGCACGGAGAGGGGGGAAGTCCACTATACCGGCCTCATTGTGTGTCTCATGACACACAAACTGGCGATCTATGTCAATGCCCAGCTTATACTTTGTCTCCAGAGT